GTTATCATACACAGGCTCTGGCGAAGGAGACCTCTGCCCTTCCGGTCTATCATCCAAAGGCATACCAGACTGCAGCATCCTACTAATCTCGAGTAACCTACTATTCAAAGCCTGAATCTCAGGATCGAACTCAATTCCTCCAGTGAAATCCTTCATGAAATCAGGTAACTGAATCTGCGGCTTGGGCTCATCATCTGCCCATCTCGACTTACGCTTCCTCGTCCCAGTACCGGAGTCATTACCCCCTTCAGCACTAGGGTTATTAATTGACTCGGAAGGTGGAGGATCCCAACGGCTCCGACGTTTCCTCCGGCTTGTAGTTTCCTCCTCTCCACCGGACTGATCCTTATCGTTACCACTCAGCGTCTTGCTGACACCGTTCTCCGATATCAAAGGGCGTAAAAACTCAGGCTTCGCTACTGAACCATTGGTATCTGGATTAGGAGCAGAAGAACCGTTTTGAGCCAAAGAATCCGGATTCAAATGATCCGATGCGAGCGGAGCAGTATCTCCGTTGGAGGAAGGAGGAGGCTGATTTAAGGTATGCGAATTAGGATTGGAGTCGTTCAAGTCTACGGACTCCATAGCGAAAACTCAAGAATTAGGGTTTCAGATCTAGGTGAAGCTGCTAATGTAGCGTATGTGAGAAAGATTTCAATTTTATCGGAGGGGTAAGAAGAGTACAACGAGATTGACGACGACACATGTATTAGAAAATTACAATGCGAATCCAGAAATTAAACAGAAGCGGCTTAACTCTGATGGGCTAGAAAAGAAATTAGGCCCATAGTAAGCCCAAATAGCCTATAGATGAAATTTTTGGCTGATGTTTTCTATTCCATAAATCTTCAATTTTTTACACTTTTCTCGAAATACATTTATTAATTATATTTTTATTAAATATTTATGATAATTGTTTTAAATTTTCAGTGTTAGGTTATAGAGTAATTTTCAAAATATTACTGAAATGAGTTTTTGTTCCAAAAACACTATCACTAGTTTGTTTTTAAAAATACTACTAAAATATTTTAATTTTTTGGTCACCAATAGCACTAAAATATTATATTTCAAAAATATGACAAATATTATAATCCAAAAATTAAATAATATTTTATGTTAAGTTAAATTATTTTGAACTATATTGTAAACGATGTTTTTATATTGAAAAGATTATTAAAAATATTGATGTCAAAAAAATAAAAATAAAAGTTAATTAACGACGGTCGTCTTCAATTCGTGCAAAGTCTTCAACCGTGTCCCCAACCTTCTCGAACTTGCCTTTCTCATTACTCTCTCTGAACCTCAAATAATCCCCACATTTAAATGACCGAAACACCCTCATACCATCACAACCTCCCACGACTTCATCAGGGGCAAAAACGACTTTCTCATCGTCGAAGCACCAGAAGAAAGCTAGCGAGAATCTATTACCGACAAAACCACGTCGTTTCAAGACAACTCTGTGCTGAGACGATCTCAGCCGTCCATTAGTCCATGCATGCAACAGATCTCCGACGTTGACGACGAGAGCTTCGTCTTTAGGGTTAATATCCATCATACCAACCCCGTCTTTGCATCTGACCTGAAGACCTCCGATGTCGTCTTGATCAACGATCGTGATGCAACTCATGTCCGTGTGCATCCCTAGCCCTTCGATCAAATCTTGATCATCACAACGATGATCATGATCTTGTTCTTGATCAGGGATCGTGTAGTTGTTGATCCTGAAGTAGCCATGACAGTTTCCAAACTCAGATTCGTAATATTTTTGAATAAGATCGTCTCCGAAGCTAGAGAGTATCGCTTTCATTATCTTCTCGCATAGTTCCGTCATCTTTTCTCCATATTCTTTCATCAACTCACTTCAAAAGGCAAAGAAAAAACAATTCATATATTTTACATTCCTAGTGAAAGTTAGAGGGAAAAAAAAAAGTTTAGCTGAATACACCTAAGTCTCGATCTTTAAGATGATCTACACCTAGCTAGGTCAACTATATATAATTACTATATTGTCTTACATTTCAGTGTGGTTGTGGTTCTATGAAGTAAAGTAGTAAACTAGAGGATTGGTCCTATTAGAATGCACCACCACAACAAAGTACAACAACAACAATATCCCTAACTTTTTTACATTTGTTTTTTTAATGTATCACAAAGAATAAATGAGTGCATGCATATATGCTTCAAGAAGATGCAAATATGCGCACTTGTAAAATAAAGAGTGACCAATATATTTGGAATCACACTTGTGTTTTTTTTGTTTGACAATCCTATATATTTATACAAAGCGGTCTATAAATTATTTATATATAAAAAAAAAAAACTTGTTGAGTTCATGTATGAACATATTTTAGCAAAAGGTGGATTGCATATAAATTAGTTCAGAAGTCAGCTTAATTATTAAATCGAAAATATGAAACGAGTTTTTTTAATTCAACACATTAAATGACATCGTTTTTGAGTGTTGCCAAAGAAAATGTCAACAAGCATGTCATTATATATTCTTTAAAATATACACAACATATATGTAATGTAATGCATGTATACCTGAACTCTTCATCGGTAGCTTGGTCGGAAAAAGCATCCACGGAAGACTTGGCCGAGGCGTAGAAATCGGGACCGGAGACACGGAGGCTTTCAAAGAAAGGAGATGCGATGAAACGTGGAGTGTAATTAGAGGCTCCCATCTTCATCTTCTCTTCATCTCCTAGACCAAAAACTCCACCGGAGAATCGCCGGAGTTTTCGGTACATGTCGCCGGAAACGCCATGGTTGGTCACGTAGAAGAAACCCCACTCCTTACACGCATCTTGTAGTGACCTCAGCGATGACTCGCTTAGAGGCTTTGAAATGTCAAACACCGGAAGTTCCAAAGACATTAATTTAATTACCTTCAAGTTAATGATGATTATGGATCGATGATTATGAATGTTGCATAAGTATGTTTTTGGGATGCAAACTTAGTTTCGTTCTGGTGCTCCAAATAGGTTTTATTCGTGTGTGTATATATATATGTGTGTAGAGGTGTGTAGCTGGTTTATTAAGATAGCTAAGCTAGGTGTTGTTTATAATATTGGTTCCACTATACAATTCTTATATAATTTGGTTGAACTCTTTTTACAAATAAATCATCTAGATGCTAATTAATCTTTGTCGTTGCAATAATTTAAACCAACTACCATCGTTCTTATTCTAACTATTTCTACATCTCAAGATGTTTGGTCCTAAAGAAAGATGTGAATAATTTAAAGAATTCGAGATTCTTGTTCTTCCAATATTTAGTGGTGGGATATTGTATATTTATCTCTAAAATCAGGGAGATTAAAACGCTTAAACATGGAGATTTTTAAAATTGTAATTAAACAAACACTCCTTGCGTGCGAGAATGAGAATCCACCACACCCTAGAACATGTAGGTGGTAAGTTACCTTTTTAAACACTAATGAAAAAACGATCACATTCGAAAATATAGCTAGTTAGAAGACAAACCAAAAACATAGATGTGTCATAGGAGTTTAATAAGATTACAACGTAAGTAATGCATAAGATTTGACTGTGGAGGAACAATTTTCTAAAATAAGCATAAAAAATTTAATTAAATTTAGAAAATGAACATCTTACTTTTTGATAAAACGAAAGACCAAATTATCGTTTTTTGTTCGACCGAAAAAAAATGAGTAGTGGGCTAGCACCTAAATTAATCGGTCTAATAATATATATAGTTTCTTAAACATGTATGATATCAATGTTAAGCAAGATAATAGTTATCATATGATTTAAGCAATGAAATTTAAAATTATTTGTCCCCTCGACACACAAACGTATTTTTTTAAATTGTCATAAAACTCAGCCGAAATAAAATGGTTAAGGCACACAGCCTACAGTTGTCTTTGCGTTGAAAACTGAGTTTATTTTTATTTTATTTCTTTTAAATAAGTAAATGAGAATATGAACATAGTTAAATTGGATTATAAAAATGAGATAGATTAGTTAAAAAAGAAAACACTTGCTAATGCTATAGGTTAATAAAAAAACAAGGTCAAAGAGAGATACAGCTAGATAGCTGGTCTGGTCCGTTCCGGCTCTATAGGAAAGTTTGGAACTCCTCATCCTCGATTATCTTAAACAAATATCATAATTTTGATGTGGTTACCAACTTTTTATATTTTTAATTTCTCGTATATATGGCTAGACTCACACAAAAGTAACCATGATGACAAATCAAACCGGTTAACAAAGTTCGAGTTTTTACTATGAGAGAAAGATGACAAATATAAGATTTTGTCTACCAGAATGTACTAGTCTGATTTGCTTTTCAAATGCTGGTTCTTGAGTTCAAGGTTGGAATTTTTTTTTAGATTACCATATTATATAATATATCAACTGTCAAGTTTAATGCTGTTTGTTGTGTAATAAGCCCATTTCGTCAAATTTCTTTACGCACAAGTGATTGACTATCGGACTGATCATGAGACTTCTTTCTAGATAACTATGATTCGTTTTTAGATGTATCTTTATAATTTGATTTTGGTACACATTACATAATTTAATTACATTATAAGTATGTTTGATATTTACAAGTGGCTTACTAAGATTTCTATATACGTTAAACAATACTTTTAGAATTGGCAATTTGGCAAAATAACATTTAAAAATGCTTTGTTTTTAATTTATTTTTCACTAATATCATTCCCAACTACAGTGTAGTTTTCCATTTTTTAGAATATGTTATGCTTTTTTAGTTTTTTTTTTTTTTAAATTGGTAGACCAATATTATACACATCGAATCATAAATCTTTTTTAATATTTTTTTGCAAATTGTCGAAAATCAAATTTGATTAAACTACCGCATTAACCGTTAATCCACACATAAAAATCTAGAAACATAAACATTAAAGTTCATGGGAGACAATTAATATCAGCGTGAATACAAGTTTCTCAAATTCAATTTTGCAAAGTAGAGAAACAAAGGAATCAATCAAAAGCGCCAAAAACTTGAATCAAATAAGTATAAATGTATCATTTAAATAGAAACCGTTATCTGTAATACAGACTATGATATCCCAGTAGTCTTTCAAATAATATATTCCTAGTAAATGATATGATAAGCCTCTCTCTATTCAAATCATTTCTCTCTGGCTATCTCTATATATATATATGTTATATACTTAATAATCAGAGACATTAAATCCCTAAATTAAAGATGAAGAATTTCAAAATTTTGCCAAATTATTCCCATAAGAATAGGTTTCTTTATATTTTAATAAGTGATACTTTGTAATTACCTGCTAGCTTGTAATCACATCAGCTTACTGATGCATCAGTTTCTTGTTACAGCTTCAAATGTTGAAGAGACTTCTGGGAGCTTCTTCGGGAGTTACGGTGAAAGGAAAAGGAAAGCCGAGAGGGCGCTTAGCTGCTAGTGGCCTGACTGGACAAAGAGTTGTGTAACTTGGTGAAGAAGCAAGCGTTGCGTTACTGTTTGACAACACTGTGTCAGTAGTAGCAGCAGAAGCAAGAGCAGGCAACTTGGGCCATGCGAAAATCCCCACTGGCTTACAGATTCTGAAACCACTACTGTTGCTTATAAGTGACAGTGGTGATCGTTCTTGTTGATCGTGCTTCTTGCTTTTTTCTCTGCATCGAGGTGACTGTGTGATTTGGTTTCCCTTGTTCATCTCCTTTACTTCTCCTTCGAGTGACTCCATTGGTGGCGAATCTTCTAGTAGCAAAGGTGTCTCTGATGAGTCTGGCTTTCTAGGAAAATTCTCGTCCACTGTTTTCTTAAGCCATCCCATGTCTTCCTGCAATATTTTTCATTCATGAAAACACAAATGTTACATCATTCATTACCAGCAAAGTGGCATCTCACTGAGACAGATGAATATTTTGATCACATATGCTAAATGGACCCATTTTACGTGGCACTCATTGCGTTTCTCCAAAGGAGTTTCCTAGTCAAACTACTTGATAGTTACTAAATCATAGCAAAATTATAAGATTTTTACATTTTAAGTAATGGTTCAGCTAGAACTAGTAAGAAGAGTGTTGAGTGTTTAGAAACTCAATTTGGGATATGTATACCTCCATTTCACGCAAGGTTTCTCCAATTATCACTAGCTGGTCCTCAATTTTGTATTTCCTCTTCAGCAGATCAGCGTATATTTCCTGAGATAAAGCAACAAAGATGTTAGAAAAAATACCATAAAACAGTATCACAAGATACAGAGATCTGTTACTATTTCAAGTTCTTACCTTTGCTGGAGTCATTAGATTATCATGGTCCACATTCTGACTAGTAACACAAGAATTAGGTGTAGTCACGATAGCAAGCTCTTGATCCTCTTCCTTCTTTGACGCCAGTTTCTCCAATGCTCTTCTCAAGACCAAGACAAACATGATTTACACAATTGCTATAAGAGAACAAAAGAGATGACCATATAACCAATTCAATAAGTTAGTCTTCTACCTTTTCAGGCTACCTAATTCTTCTCTGATCTCACGGATTTCTCCGGCGCAGACAGGATCTTGAGTAGGGTTGTCACCAAGCTTCCAACCAGGTGGAGGCGTCCAGTAAGGATCTTCAACTCCTGCTTCTTTCCTTATGTGATTCAAATCAGAACTCTCCAACCAATACTCCATTGCCCCATCTGCATTGTGCTTTCTCATAAACCTATCTTGACCTCCAGGAGCCACCTTACCTGCCATATGCTTGAGCATATGATCTAAAAGACCTGTGTCACCTATCAGCTTCCTTGCTTCTGACCTTAACTCTGACCTGAGTATGGAGTTGCCAAACACTGCATTCTTCTCCTTCATCACTTTTAACATGTTCCTCTCAGCTAGTTTGTACCTTCATATTCCAAAAATAACCACAATCAATCAGATGAACCAAGGCAAATCCAATTTCAGAGATCATCAAATCCGTTAAATATTCACTTTACCTATCAACAGACCATCTGTCAATGAATTTCTTCTCTGCTCTCCTCTTATAGACCACAATTTGATTTTCCTTCTTCTGATCATAAACCTTAGCCCTCTGAGCAAGTCTCTCAGTGCTTGACTCAGTCAGCTTTCTCTTACGATTTCCACCAGTTATTTCCTTTGCAATCTGTTTAGCCCCTTCGGCTTCATTCCCATCATCGTCATCATCTTCTTCATCAGTCTCTTCTTTGCAAGCCCCTTCCTCCTTCACCTTAGAACCCTCCTCACCTTCCGTATTCTTCTTAGCATCAATATGCCGACTCTTGTACTGCACACGCAATCTCCTCCCCCACTTAATCATCCCTCCAGATCTCAGCTCAGACCAACACTTCCCCGCCGGTGAAGCCGCGCGACAGAGCCTAGTATTGTACGCCGGTTGAGAAATCCTCTTGTTCCTGCGAGAAGAAGCAGAAGAAACCCAGAAACTCCACGAATTTCTATTCATAGAAACCTCATGAGGTGCGATTCTTCTGTAAAGCAAATCCCCAGCAAGCTCCGAACTCATCACATGGCTCTCGTCGAGCAAAGGGATAAGACCACCACCACCGCTCCTCTTCTTCAACGGCTTATTCCGGTTAATCCTGCTGCGATCGAAATGCGATCGGAGTGAGTACATGCTTGGGTATCGGAGAGACACGTCGCTCGCCGTGATTTTGCTCACCTGAAACCAGAATCCGCCAAAATCACTCAAAAACCTTAACGAACAAAAAAAAAACGAGATCCGGCTCTAATGGCGAAACAGCTAAAAACAGAGAGAATCCATAAAATACCATGACGACTCTAATCGATTTAAGATTCTCCGGCGATCTCTGAGGAAGAATCGAAGAATCGATTTCGTAATACGACCCAACTCTTATATGCGCGACTGCAACTAGAAGAAGAAAAAAACAGGAATCAGAGGATGAAGAAACCGGAGAAAATCAACAAAAATGGAGACAACGAAAGCTTGAGTGTACTGTTTTACCATTCACAGACGGTGACGACGGCGGAGTGTTATTCCCGGCGGTGGTTTCTCTAATCGGATTCCGTTTCACGAACATCGTTACCTGTAGAAGAAGAAAAGAAGTATATAACTCAGAGAGGTGAGTTCACTTTATTTTCTTGTGATCTCTGGTGAATCAAAAAAATGGGAAATGTTAAGAATTGTGAGAAATATATTTGAAAAGAAGCCGACTCTGCGAGTATTAACAAGAAAACAGACGCGCTTTCTGACACGCGCGTGGGAGACACAAAGGCAACAACAGAATCAAGACGTGATGATTATATTTTTTTCTCCCGTCATGAGGAGAGAGTGATAGAGACTGCGACGAGCCATTCATTACAGAGCCAAAAAAAAAAAAAAAGAGAAAAAATCACAGAGAAAGAGAGAGAGATCTTACACTCTTGATTTTTGCTCTCGATGATCCTCTCCACTCTCGTCGATCTTCAAAAAAAAAAAAAAATTTGAATCAGTGAAGATGAAAAAAAAACCTTAGAAATTAGTATATGAAAAGAGAGAATCGGAAATATAAACACAAAAACCCAGAAAATATCTGAAGAATTGTTATTATTTTCTAACCAGAAGAGATTTTTCTTGTATCTGCAGAGAGAGAGAGAGAGTAACGGAGGAGGAAGGAGCAGAGAAAAAAGAAAAAGTTTTTTGAAAATGTCGCATTTACTGAATCTGTTGGTGTCTTTATATATTAATGAAATGACTCAAGTGAGAGAGAGAGAGATGTGAGTCGAGTGACTCAAGTTCTCATGTGCGTGTGGCAATGTCACGTGAGGATATTTTTCCTTTCGCAGCAAGTTGGCAGAAATTGACAGATTTGCCCTCAAACTGCCTCATAACTGTGTGTGTTTGTACGGAATCCTCTACAAAGAAGCACACGCCCAGTGACACCGATGGATTTACGCCACGTGGTTAGTTTTAAAACTTAAAGAGTATTTAGACGGTGGTAAGACATGAAGGATAATAGAATCGAGTGTAGCGGATTATATTTTTATTGACACGCGCGGTGAAGGCATCATTAAGCTACTGTTACTAGAGTGGGGACCGATTACGCACGTGAGGAAAATCGAATTATTTAGTTAACAACATTTGGTTAAATGAAAAATTGTTAATTTATGTTCTTTTTATTTACATTTGATTCGTTTATCATATACTCCATTATTATGTTCTATACATTTGTATTGTGAAAACACTTTTCTAGATTAACCATTGTCTGTAAATTGTGACAATTAAGGGAGCCAACAAATCTCAATTTACATTATTAACATGTACACTTTTAAGGTTTGTATACTTTTATTGGCTAAAAATAATTTTAAGAAAAATAAAGTATAACGCAAGATGCTAACTAAAAGAAAACAATCGTAAACAGGCCTTAATGGGCCAAATCTATACTGAGAAAATTCTGGGGATCCGTTTCGGAGATGAATCAATAGAAACGGGTCTGGATACCTTCAGTCTGATGAGGAAAGAGAGTGTGACTTTTTCGATCGCCGAGATAAACAAAAGGTCAGTGCTTGGTCGTCTTCCACCGTCTCCTCCGGACCAAAGAGCTCAAGTCACGCAGCAACCAAAGTACTTATTTTTGCCGTGTTTTCGATTGCAGAAAGTGCATAGGCTTTGTACTTTCCCGATCTGAAGTCAAACAAATACACTGGTCAACCAAAAACGTCGACGAGCCTAAGATTCCGATAGCAAAATTGGTCGAACCCGAGATTTCGACGAGCCACACTGGTTAACTTCCGACCCAATTCACGGCCTAGGTCACCGAGAACGTGGTATGTGTTTTCTAAGGCTCTCGAAAGGGTTTTAGGTTGGGATCAGTTTGAGTTATGATGCACAATTTAATAGCTTTAGCTGCAGGATTGGGTCTTTTTTGTGCATACCTATTGTTCCAGCAAAGTAGAAAATTTTATCTCCTCAAAGTAGATGACATGGGAGCTAATTCTTCTGTTTGGGTTTCAATCGCAGAAACAGTGTGAACATTTGCACTTTGGCTCTATTGTGCTTGGAGCTGTGCTAATTAGTGTTAAAAGGATTTTGGGTGACTGTTGGAATTTTTAATTGATCTGTGGTCTTTGTGATTTCTTTCATCATCTCAAGTGTTTGTTGTGTTGGTCACTCACTATATATAATTATATATCATTCTGTAGAAAGAGCAGTTTTTTCCGACATTTTTTATTTATCAATTCTTTGTACGTTTTCAAGAGCTAATGATTTCTGATAATTTGTTATGTGATACTTTCTTTTTGCAGACTTGTTGGCATGTTTTGGATTTATTGATTCTTAATGAGTTTTATCTTTGGCTTCTCTCTCGATCAGTGGCAGAAAGCTATGGAAGGTGCTGCAATTGCGGAAGGGCTTTGGGGACTAGCGGATCACCACCAGAAGCTTGGTGAGATTGGAAAAACCATAAAGTGCTTGGAAGCAATCTGCCAGAGTCAAATCTCTTTCCTTCCTCTTGTTGAAGTCAAGTCTCGCCTACGTGTCTCTGCTCTTCTACTCCGTTACTCTCACAATGTCAACCATGCCAAGTCCCATCTCGAGCGCTCTCTTCTTCTCCTTAAGTCTATTCCTTCCTCTTATGATCTCAAATTCCGGACTTATAGCTTGCTCAGCCACTGTTATCACCTCCTTGGCTCATTCCCTCCTCAACGTAACCTTCTCCTCAAGGCTCTCGAACTCGCATCTTCTGTCCCTCAGGATGTTTCTGCCTACCTCTGGTCTTGCAATTTCAACTCTCAGCTCGCTAATACTTTCATTAATGAAAGCGATTTCCCTTCTTCTCTCTCTGCTCTCGAGTCTGGTTTTTTCTCTGCTTCACAGATATGTTTTACTGAGCTCCAGGTAGATAGTCTCTTGTTTTTTTTTTGCATTTGAGGTTCAGGTGATCTTTGATGTTAATATTATTTGAGTCTGTACTGCAACCAGATGTTCTTCACAGCTTCTATGCTTCACGTTCATATCATGCAATGGACTGATGATTATTCAGTAGAGAAGGCTGTTCAGCGATGCGATGAGATCTGGCAGACCGTTTCTTCAGACAAGGTATGGTACTGTACATCCAAATTTTATTCTTTGCTCATTTCACATCTGCTTGATAGGTTTTGTCCTGCATCAACTAATTCTCGTTTCATTTGTAGACTGATCGCTGCCCTGGTTTGTTCTTCTACAATGAGATGTTGCATGTTTTCTATCGCCTCAAGCTCTGTGATTATAAGAACGCTCAGCATCATGTCGACCGCTTAGACCAGGCCATGAATGCTCATTCTCATAAAATGCAGGAGATCCAGCAACTTCTGGATGAGCTCAGTTCATTAGATCATAGTCTCTCCCGCTACGATCTTCCCTCCAGAGAAAGATCAGCCCTCTCTGCAAGACAATCTCAGCTTCAAGATCGTGTAAACTCATTATCTCCATCTTCTACCACTTATAATTCTCTGGAGTCTGCATACTTTGGCAACACAGATCGTGGATGGACAGAGAGACTACTGCTTTCACCATCTCCTATTGATGGAGAGTGGCTGCCAAAAAGTGCCATCTATGCTTTGGTCCATCTTATGGTTGTCATATCTGGACGTCCAAAGGGACTCTTTAAAGAGTGTTCAAAACGTATCGAGTCTGGATTGCAGATCATTCAAGGTTGTTCTGTTTTCCTTATCACTTGAAGTTCCCGTTATCTCTTAGTTCACTTCCTAGTATTGCATTTTATCAGCACTAGATACTTTTTGTTCTTTTCTCTTGTTGCACTGAAATCACCAGAAAACTTTGCCTCAGAATTAAATCGGTGTAATATGTGATCCATTCTCCTAGTTCATGTGGCTTCTGTAAGAAAATTAGCCATCCGTTTCTTAGAAACACAACTACGAAGATTAGGGGATTCCATCTCAATATCTCATGGCATGACATGTTGTGTGTTTGCTATGTTTTATGCAGATGAATTGATCAAGCTTGGAATTACTGACGAAGTTAGAGGTTCAATCTACTTCTTTATTTTACCTACACTTAGTTGAAGCAACAATTCCTAATGTTGAAGCTTACATTGATTTTTTTCTGTGTTTCCTCTCTCTCGGCAGAAACTGATTTACGGCGCACAGCTATCTGGATGTCTACGATTTTTCTTATGCTACAGATGCAGTTCCTTGAGAATAGAGTGGCTTTGGAACTTACAAGGTCAGATTATGTCGAAGCAGAAGAGGTATATCATCGTTTCTTTTTTCTACATTTGTTGCTGACTCCCTTGACCACGCCACTATGATATAGTTATTTATCTGAGTTAACCAGCTCTATATGCATATTCGATCAAGTTCCCCTCACATTAGGTCATATTAGCTGTCTTTTCTAGCATCATGCTTTCTTAAAGGAAAATTTATTACTAAGTTTTGTTTGTGCAGGCCTTGGTTGAGATGAAAAATTTTTTTACTCGGTTTCCAACCATTTTGCAAGCTTCTGAGTGTGTGATTGAGATGCTCAGGGGGCAATACTCTCATTCCGTTGGTTGCTACAATGAAGCTGCTTTCCATTGCCTTGAAGCAACCAAGGTAAAATTTCTAACCTCATGTATATGATAGATATTTGCTTAGTTTTTGGAATGAGGTGTTTTAGGTGCCGATTTGATAATGGTCAACATATTTTTCTTTTTGCTGCCCATGGTGATTTCACATATAAAATGTTATTTCAGCTGACAGGGAGTACATCAATGCAAGCGTCGTGTCAAGCTTTTGCTGCTGTTTCTTACCTTACTATTGGAGATGCTGAATCATCATCTAAGGTTTGACATTTTCATGGATGTTTACACTTGCTTTACTATATTGCCGTGAGCTTAAGAAGGCTGCTTGAAAACCTTTGATTTTTCTTTAGGCACTTGATTTAATTGGACCACTCAATGGAATGACGAATTCACTATCCGGTGTTCGAGAGGAAGCTAGTATTCTCTTCGCATACGGTCTCCTCTTGATGAAGCAACAAGATCTACAGGAAGCAAGGTATGTGCTCACTTCTCAGTTTGTCAAAGGTGGTTTGCTATGCGAATACACGTGCGCATTGGTTCTTGTCTCAGCTGTTGAGACCCCTACCTATCTTTGTCTCCAATGATAATGATTGTACAAAACCATCTTAGAGTAGGATTATGCGCCTTATCTGTGTTCATAGGAAGAGAAAGAACTATGTCAAGAATATTCACATAGTGTATGATATCAATGCAGAAACCGTCTAGCCAAGGGTTTACAGATCGCACATAATCATATGGGTAACCTGCAGCTAGTTTCACAATATTTGACACTCCTGGGCAATTTAGCTCTTTCCTTGCACGACACCGTGCAGGCCAGAGAGATCCTGCGTTCCTCTCTTACACTTGCAAAGAAACTCTATGATATCCCAACTCAGCTATGGATTCTATCCATCTTCACAGGTTATTATTAAACTTGTCAAAACAGAGTTGAGTTTTAAAAAAAGGATGACCAAGGCTCTGAGCACAACATTTGATTTGGTGATTACAGCTCTTTATCAGCAGTTGGGTGAGAAAGGGAACGAGATGGAGAATGAAGAATTCCGGAAGAAGAAATGGGATGAGTTGCAGAGTAAACTTGCCGAAGCGCGTGGATCCATTCATCACATTGAAT